AGTACAAAATGTGCTTGATAGGAATTTGGAGACCATATCTACAAGAAGATCCCCATAAAATGACGCTGGGTTGTCTAGAAGTTTTCATCGTCCTTGTAAGTTGTTTCAAGTGGGGGAGAAGTAGTTCTCTTTATAATCTATGTTCCTCCGTTGAGTTGATACTGATGTGAATTGAGGCTCATCGAGCGATGATGCGGCAACGTTTGTAACACGTGACGTTACCTGAGAAGGATTTACTTAGTCCGACTGTTGTACGTGGCACACTGTACACGAGTTAACACTTCGGTTATATTGTGCTCACCAAGCATTGCCATGTTTCCACCTGAATCAGTATCGTTTGTACTATCCCTAATGTCTGACGAAACCTTTGTAGTTAGTCTACAACAAAAAAGAGGCAGAGGCACTTGTATTTCAGCACATTAGTAGTATATAACTTTAGTTGTGAAGAGCTGTGGACTGACAGAAGAAACAACCTTGCTTTATTTAAACAACCAGCGCAAGTAAAAGGACTGCTACGTATAAGTAACTGCGCTGAACTGCTCAAACAGGAAGGGAGGCGTTTCACAACTCTTATGTCGTCGACTTGTGCAGTGGACGAAAAGGTAGAGCACAATCAAAGATACCATTAATTTCTATTCCAAGAAAGAAGCCTCTACTAGAATCCAAACACTGGCTATCACAGAAGCTTGGATTTACGCCCTCTTTCCCATCAAAATATACAAAATCACATTCCCACGATGGAATACGTCACGTAATTGGACGAAGCCGTTGGTATCTATTCATACACAGACAAAATTATGCACGGAACATAAAAATCCATCCGGGTGGCGGAAAGAATATATAATCTGGTTGCAAAAACAAAAACTACTGAAAAACACGATAATAGGACGGCATTCTGTCAAATCATGACCATTATCGGTTGCAACCATATTGTTGGTCACGCCGTCCAGATAGTGCCAGGTCTATCGATCCATTGAAGAGTATTCTTGTAAAATCGAGCTAATTTTTCATTGACGGGTGGGACAAGGGGATTTGGTTTATGGGGAAATGGTTGTTTTTGAGACACATCATTTGTCTTCTTTATGTCATCACTGCTACATTTCCTGATAAAAAAAGTGGTAACCGAAAACGTGAAGCAATTTCTTGTTTGGTAAGCCAAGGATTATCTTGTTTCTTCAACCGAACAGATTCAGAAATCGAAATTCCGCATTCCCGAAGGGTGTGTGACGCAAATAAGGAACGATATCTATGGTGATCCAAGGCACCATCTAAAAAACAGTTGTTTGGTTATCCATGTTGGCACTCAGATTGAATATCGATCACAGCTTGTTCTGTTATTTTGATATCAGTTCTAGGAGCGGCGATTGTTTCCAATGCGAATAAGGGCGTGCACAAAAAAGATCACATGTGTTGGTAAAAGGACATCAGAATTCCATTAGTGCAAGTAGAGACGGGAAGATGCCTGGCCAAGTGTTATTCACTCAACTCTGTCGACTGGATACATCGAATATATTTTTTAGTGTGCATCAAGACAAACGGAACTGTTGATTCTAAAATGTAGTTAGACACTTGATTACGGGACATCAGGAAAATTTGCAGAGAGTATGATAATTTATCAGCTACCTTACTCAATCTTTCAACTTGACATGTCCTGAAAAAATAGAAGTATCTTAATGAATCACTGTCCCGCAAAGGCGGAGGCGAGTTCGCTTGGTTAAAGGAATACTCTTTTTAACAGAGTACTTACTCAAACAGAGGCTACGAACTCGAAGGGTATGTAAGAGCATTTTCTGCACGGCATGAGGTCGCGTGCATCTACGCTGTTAATAAGGACACCTCCAAGATAGGTTGCCTATGGTATACCGCCTTGACAATGATAAGTTGTGCAATATGGGATAGCACAGTCTTGAACGGCGTGATGCACTATCAACGGGTGATTCGACATTCAAAAGAGAAACCTTTGTCGGAGAGTTAAAAGTAGGTACCTTGTGTGTGTTAATCAAATGCATAAGAAAAATACCCGTATGGCTATCTTGAATGTAAGTGAAAAATAAACGTTTACAGACAGTGTGGTTCCTCACGTGTACCAATAACATGTGAGTGTATGCACCCGGAACATTCTGCAGGCGTTTTGAGTAGATTTACTCCCCAAAAATGTATTTTTTTAAATGGTTACTCTATCTTCCAGATCAGACTTAGATTGCTATTTATGTACAACGAGGCTACAACTGACAAAAACGAGCTTCACAAAAGGTCTATGAATTAACATGGGGTTCGATTCACTTTCTAAGGTCAATTTCTCGATTTCAAGGGGCAGACTGTATAGGTTCCTACGTGGAAAGATTTTTGAGACCTTGCCATCCAGAATGTGAAACCTCGGAACTCGGAGAAAAGTCCGAGAAGACTATGGGACCAGGAAAAAGAGGTAAAGCTGGTTGGAGAGATTTCATCTACGTCATATTCGTCACCTAACCTAGCCATAAGGACTTGACAGTTTCTTGCGTAAAAATGACTGCTGAGAGACGATAAACGAGCTATGTAGAAATCCCGTGGAGAATAAGCTTGTCTTTCTAAGAACTGTTAATTAGTTTCCAAACGTTGCTACATAAATCACAGAGGTCATTTCATGGCGGTCAGAATACCAACAGTTAAAGTAATGCGACATCCAATTCATACACAGGATGTCTGTGAAGCAAACCCCGTATGCTAATGAACCCACACGACATGTGTGGCATAGCTGCAGGCCCACAGGCTACTCTGTACCCAATTACCGAGTATAAGCCAGACAGGTAATGAGAAATACGAAGAATAAGAGTTTACAAGGCTGAATAAAGGTCTGGATTCTCAGCAGCAACTAGGGTCTTTACACCCAAATTTTGGCCACTTAAACTAGTGATATGCAGCCCTACGTAAAAGGTTTGTGTGACAACGGTTTTTAGAAGATTCTCCTGTATTAGCCGACTAATTCTGGGATGGATAGTTTGAATCGATGGGTAATGATGAGACTGTATGGAATGCTCCAATCACTCTGTCTATTTATCTAATGTTGACTACAGATGAAATCCATCAGAGTACAAGTTCGAAAAACAGCAGGAGTCTGGATGTCGCCATACGATTATCATCAAAACAACAGCACGATGGGGGTATTAGAAAAAACTGGCACACAACATCACTAGGTTCCAGCTCTTCTAACGACTTGGTTTCGCTTGTTGAAGCTGTCCTCACTAGCAAGCTAGCACTAACATTCACTGGTAAAACTCCATGACCAGGAGAAAGTAGTAGGCAGTTGAAAAATAACGATATGACCAAAAAAGATTCCAATGAACTGTATGAGTAAGAGACCCACCGACCATAGTTAGATATTAGCACTGTTGTGAAATGTAGGTAGCTCGGGTTGTTGGTTGTTGGTCTGTTCGCCGAGCTTGGCAGTTGGATTGCAAACGTTTCATCACCAACCGAGGTGGCATCATCACTGACGATGTCACCTCGATTGGTGACGATCTGTTTGCAATCCAACTGCCAAGCTCGGCGAACAGACCAACATGGTCAGATAGTTTTACCGCTGGTGTAAATTGTGTCAATTTAGGACTTTCCTAATGCCAAGCAACCAGTCGCACATGATTGAAGTCTTATCCCATCGACTGGGCTGTATATTTTAAGCTATCCAACTCCAGTAGTCTGTCGTTCTGCCATCCACACTTTTTGTTAGTTGACCTGAAGCCACCCTAGAACCTACATGGACCGAACAGCTATTTATCACATAAATAAACAGTGAGATTCAATGCGTCAGGCAGTCACTCGAAACACAGGATCACGTTGGCATGACATATGCTGACCATGACCAATCGCCCACCACTCTTTTGTGTAATCGAGCACTCACACTACTCGCCTTCAGTTAAACAGGCACAGTTTAGCTAAAAATCACCAGCTTGTGAACATAACTTTTAGTCTGATATCCTTGAATCCTTCTTCGAACATGTGTCATGCTTCTGAGTTCTTGCCAACCTTGTTCACATATGCCTCGTCCTGTAACTAGACAGATTGATTTTTGTGACAGAAGGAAGTAAAACCAACATTCACGTCTCGTGGCCGATTCGCCGAGGGAACAGTGGTGGACGTGATACATACATTGAAGGATTGTTGTCCCTCCTTGTTTGTTAGGAATAAGCAACAGCCAAGGGGGCAATGCCATTCTATTTCTTTTTAAATATTTTACACGGCCTAAGGCAGATCCGAAAATGAAACGAAATGAAGACATGTGATCTTTCATACTCAACCATGGGATGATGGGAAAACTAAACTGACTAGAAGAAAGGAATACAAACAACTGAAAACGAAAGACTTCAAGTAATATAGGGGGTTGTGACATTGCATTCACTATTTTCCATCTCCAGAAAAATACTCCCATGGAAAGATTTCCCCCTCAAGAACAACCCCATTCCTTAAGAAGACACGTAAATGTTGCTTTTTTAAGAAATATCATCTGAATGGAATGAAGGACAATATAAAAACAGTGGTTCGCACCAGAACTCTTTCTGGCTTTGATAGACGCACTCAGGTACGACTCTTACAATTTAAGACAAAAGTACGCTCTTAGTGCGGTAGTTCGTACTTAGCTGCACCCCCGTCTTTAGGCATCGTTGCCAGGTTATCTTTGTCATGAAGATTAAGGAAGCTTTTCTACATTCTGTAGAGTCCCAGAAACACATACATTTAGCCCCTTTTCTAAGCGAATGAACCCACTCAAAGCCTTACCGCCCGAGTCACGGAATAACACTCCGAGTTGAGTTAAACTGCTTATTCGTGGCATATACCATGCTGTATCAAATCAACATAGCAGAATTTACTCAGTCCTTCGGCGGACAAGTTTCTTTCCCAACCTGGAGATCCAAGTGATTACCTTAGCAAAGTTAAGAATATATTCGAAGGTGATAGATACCAAACGAATACGAGGTAACAAAATATATTTTAACCAAATCATCACTGCGTTAGAGACTTACGTCAGACGCAGAAACTTCGTCGCTTCGATTTCGGATAAAGTTGTCAACTGTTTGCCGTCTAAATGACATTGCTTTGCAGCTTCCAAACATCCACTAGGAAGGCAGGCGTACTCAGACAGCCACACGAGTACCTGTTCGGCAGACCAACAGAAGGGAGGCAGGTGAGGCGGGAGTTCTCTGGGGTCAGAAACCTCGCTCACATCATCACCGTCAATGGCTGAAGGGTTAGAGCACTCCTTATCTGTTGTTGTATGTCCGTTGATTTTGGAATATTCGGAGGTGTTCTTCACTTGTTCGACTGAACCGGGGTGTGTTGCTGAGGAGTGGTAGAAAGTAGGTATTTTTAAGGCATCAAGGTGGTATAAAGTGATCAAGAAAGGAAATATTGCGCGCATAAAAAGAGGTACTAAAGTTACCTATGTATGCGTATTCTTTCAACAAGACAAAATGTATTTGCTGGCATTCCGGTGGCAACTTCGTCCCCATTGAATTAACCACAGACAGAACGCCGTCCATGACGTGCGACCTACGTCAAAGGTAGAGTCTATCCTCAATAATTCCAAAATAATGCTTAGAGAAATACCCAGCAACTGTCTATAGCTCACTATGATTTTTCTCTGAATAAAGACCAGTGAACTAAAGTCCATCACAGTTTACACGTCTGCAAGGGTTAAAAACTTGGTATATAAAAAAGGGCCGATATATCAATGAGAAGAACCATGGGACTGCTTATCTTAGGAAGACAGAGTGGGTCATTCGTACCTTTCGCTGTTTGAAAATGCGAACGGTTATCAGCTTCTGACGCGCTGGGTCTTCCCAGTGGAGTGGAATCTACGTGCTCTCGACCCCAAAAGACATCGACCGCATGGACACAAGGCTTAGAGACTCCAGAGACACACAAATCTTGAGCGAACACAAGCTGCTAAACCATGGTGATGCAATTAGTATCAAATAGGTCAAGTGCCAAGTAAGTTTTGTGAAAAACATCAGAACTATGTGTACCGCTTTCGTTTTTCGACGCAGTCAATGAGTCCGATCGAATAAATGAGAGGAGAGTGTGATAAGTATTCTTGAAGTAGAAAAGATATCTTTAAACGCCATGAAGAATATACTAAACTGCTTCTTATGTGGTGAACAAATCACACTATATGCAAAGAGAATTTGGCAAAAACTCGAAAAAAATGGGCCCAAAATCCCATTGTCCGAACATGAATTAGAATCAGTCGTACTATCTGTTGCGCTGTGTTTGTACTAATGAACGATGATTTATTGGTGATGAGGGTGTTTTTGTGTCCACGCAAAATGTAAGATGTTTTGAAGACCATTCACTCATGTCGAGGCACTGTTTCCACTTCGAAGACTGCCCGAGTTTGTATTAAGTAGTAAAATTATAGAAACCCGTAGTAACGGAGTCAAAGGCAGATGAGTCATCTGTTGCGGACGACCATTGACCAGTAACTAGCTGAGTATGGAGGATTTGAAGCGAATAAAAGCAGTTTGTTTAGGGAAGAGGTTTTTATACATTCGTTTGTCGATTGATCAAGCGAACAGGACGGATGTTTTTTTCACTCAGAGCCGTCCTCAGCTGTAGCGTCTGTTTATTCATTAACAACAGCAACTTCAGATATTTCCGAACGTGTTGAACGAGCTGGCTTAATTCTTCACACCAAAACTATCGGGAGAGAAAGAGACTCTCGCTTGTACGACGAACTTCCTCCTTGTTGACAGATGCTGTCAGTCAGAAACACGACTGTACAACACAAATACTGCAACCAAGCTGCTCTATTCAGACGATTTAGAGGCCGTTGCAACTGTACATACTGAGGTCGGTGTTCTGTTACTCAACCAAGCGAGAGCATCACTGCCTGGCTGGCCTCGCAGTGACGGTAAGATGTGTGCACCTCAGCCAGATAAAAGCAGTTTGTTTAGGGAAGAGGTTTTTATACATTCGTTTCTCGATTGATCAAACGAACAGGACAGATGTTTTTTTCCACTCAGAGCCGTCCTCAGCTGTAGTGTCTGTTTATTCATTAACAACAGTAACTTCAGATATTTCCGAACGTGTTGAACGAGCTGGCTTAATTCTTCACACCGTGCTTCTGAATGTGCGTGTGTGTACGAGCAGATCTACCAATGCTTTCCAGCAAAAAGTGATGCACGACAAAGAAGTCCACTTTCTGCATTCACGTCCAACATTGTTATCGAGAAAATAATGGAAGAACTGTTGAGGAACCTCTCAGACTTTGGTGATAGAGTGGACGCTATCGCTCCGGAGTATGCAGGAGATGACATTTTAGTCCTTTAAGACCAGCTAAAAACGCGGGGGTGTATTTTGCACCCGCGTAGTACAAAGGCCATTCCGTAAAGTATGAGGTCCCTAAAAAGGTCCCCGCGATATAACACCAACATCCTGGATACTGTCGAAAGTCTCACATCGATCGTCAATTGCATGAGCTCTGATAAAAGTGCGTGCGTGAAGTCTTTCACGAATTTTAAGGGATGATTCGTGTTTGACAATGTTCCAGTTATGGCACGTCACTGGAGCGTAAGGGTCACATGCACCAGGCTCTGGTATGGGCCGTTATGTGGATCCTAGGCACAGATTCTGAGGACATGGGGTCTAATCTGCCGACGTATATCATCCGTTGCTGATGTCAATGAATTCATACCTATTTAGGTAAAAAAAAACGATGTACTGCTGTTTCTTCGCGAAAACGGTTCAGCACCATTAACTGTGGTAGTTTGGCAGTGAGGT